TTAAAGGGGTCATCGGATGCCCATTTTCCACAAGTTGATATGATTCTTTAGGGTCTTAATGAAAAGTCTATAACATACTTTGGTTAAAATTTCTCAATGGTAGTGTAAAACTACACCCTTTTTACCCTGTCAAAATCAGCTCTGCAGAAATCAACCCGTTTTTTGCATGTTGCTTTAAATGCTAATGAGCTCTGCTGACCCCGCCCCTTTCTTCTGTGGGGTGACGAACCGTGCTCTGAGAGACTGTTTACTTTAGCCGCATTTAGCCATAAGTAGCACTGGGTGGATTTTTATCATTATAGGGTAGATGTGTACACACACTGCCAACACACATTTATGTTCAAACAACATGTAAAAGTGAAATTAGCATCCTATGACCCCTTTAAATGAGTTTAGTTTAAATAAAGATAGCAACATGTGCTGTTCAGGTCTCACCTGCGCACATGCGCTATCAACACCCGGGTGATGACGGCATGAATGACTGGTCATATTTGAGCATACAGCACTCGCATTGAACAAAGTTTACCAAGAGTGACTGGTTTGTCCACGTTTTTTTTTTTTGTTCAGCGCTGTTGTTGTAATGTATTGGGAAGCCAGAATGCGTATCCATCGACAGAAACATAGGCCTAAATTAGCTGAACTCTGTCTGTTTTACGTGTTGTTATTTTTAACAAGCCATATTACATATGTAAGATGTCAGATTTGTTGAACTGCGGTGCAAGTACGTGCCGAACCGTGGGTGGAGAACAGTACGGTTCGTTTTTTTACCGAGAACCGTTACACCCCTAATCACTACTGCACTTTTGATTCCTGTTTATAGACACAAGTTAATACCAGGTGTAAACTGCAATCCATCTCAACTGATTACATGTGTTCGGACACCTCAGCATAGCATTACTAAGCAGCCATTATCAGAGAAGATCGATCAGAAATGAAGAGGTGCAACCATTACCACATCACTCACCTTCCACTCCACTGATGCACTTGACTCTGTCACGCACCTCCACGTTATACCCCTCAAAGGACATGAAGACTCCGCTGGGGTGATACGGCTCTCTCTGGGCATATACTTTGGAGTAACTGTGCGAAAACTCGAATCGATCGTAGCCGTCGTACTGTACCACCTTGCCGTACACCTCAAAGTACTTCTCCATCCAGCTGAAGGGCAGGTATACCTCACTGCCTTCTCGGCGGCCCTTAATGGTGACATCGTCATTGATCAGGCAGTCGATCTCTTCGTAGCGCACTCCACCGACCACAGGTGGAGGTTCGGGGGGCTGGGGCTGCTGCGGATGGCTGTCTATTTTCGGGCTGGGAGGGGGCTGGGGGTGCCGGGGCAGGAAGCGCAGCGCTTTCTCACTCGTACACTTGTTCCACAGAACGACCGTGAGCAGAGAGAGGAGAGCGCAGATCACTATCAGGGTCTTGTAGTGAACACGGGCTGCCAGACAACGCATCATCACTGCTTACCTGTAATACAAAGACACAAACGTACATTAAAACACATTCTATGAAACACCCATTGGCTGAGCTGAAATAACAGACAAACATGCAATCACATGCTCATACTCCCCGCTATACACTAGTGACATTTCCGATTTAAGTGTAATCAGTAATCCAGTCAGAGGAAATTTTATGCATACCTACATGGAATTAATCAGAGTTTAAAAGGTCTAATCAATATTTTTCCCTCTGCATGAATAATCAAATGCAGCATTAGAGAAATTCAATATCTGTCTGGGCGACTGTATAACCTGTTTTGCATATTGCTTCTAAAATTCACAGCAGCAGAAGAAAAGCATTTTTTTCTATATTTATTGTTAAGGGAATAATGTGCAGCATTTGACCAAAAAAGATTCACAATGGAGACAGTTTCTGGATTTACTAAAGAGAAACTTTTATATGTGCATGTTATTTATGTAATGTTTTTGTGTTATTTTAGCATTATTTATATACTATTATAGCATTTATGAATATTTTGAATTAGCTTTTATTTTCATGTTTTTAGTTTCATTTTAATTTTAGTTTAGGTTTTAGTAATTTTATTATGCTTTAGGTATTTTTTTTTTGTTTTTAATGTTTTAAATTGTATAATGTAAGTTATTTCTATTTAGCTATACACAAGACAACATTTCTAATTTTTGTTCTAATTTATGTTCTAATTCTAATTTTTTAATTTTAAGTTTTTTTTTTAAATTTAGGTTTAATCTAATGCTTATATTTAATTGTATTATACAATGAAAGCGACTGTAATATCAATGATGTATCTATTGAAGAAAAATCACAAAAACAATGTGTGAATAAAACTTTTGAGATCTTATACACTGATACTGGTCTGAAAATAGTCATCTTCTCCAAACTAATTGTTCTTTTTTTTTTTTACTGCCCATCTAGGAACTTATTTGGTAAATGTGTTTCCACTTTAGTTTATGTGCATGTGTTTTTACTAAAAAAAAAAAAAAAAGTGTATCCACCAAAAAAAAACATTGAAGTTTTTTTGCACACTTTGGAATCTTTATTCGCATTTAGGTTTTTCCATTCATAATTTTTGATGCAATAGCTCAAAACTTGCATAAAAATATGTGGATGCAAACGCAACTGGTAGTTTATGCAATAACTACTGTTTTTACAATAGTCATAAGCAGAATAGAAAAGAAAGAACTCAATATTCTCTACATATCTTTACATTTCCTCTCTCACAAATTATTTTCTGCTGCTGTGGTTTCTGCACTTGGGAGAGAATCGCATTAACTTTGTAAACGTAGCTCATAACGCGAATCAGCAGCCTCTCACTCATATCATCCCTTCTCTCTCTTTGGCATGTTATCTTCTTTGCAAACACTAAAAATCAATAAGCAGAACAGCACTGCCTCTCACTACAGCTAATTACTGTGCTGGGTTTGGCATGGACAAAACACCAATGCCATCATTAGCAGTCCACACCACTGTGAATCTAAAGCTAAGTCTAAGGTCAACGGAGAACAAAAACACATCAATCCATCAACCCAAACGAAGTGCAACATAGTGCCAAACACTCCATATTTAACTAAATGAGCAAAAAGGACCGAGGCATGATGAATGGTAGCGGTACATACACGCTTTTAGCCTGCCCTACATACTAGGGCTGTCAAAAAAAATTTTCTAGCGGGACATCTATCAGCGTTGCACTCGCATCTCGCACAAGAGAGCGGCATGTTTAGAAAGCCATGCATAAAATTATGACCAGCCACTGCACATTTTAGAGTGGCCTTTTATTGTGGCCAGCCTAAGGCACACCTGTGCAATAATCATGCTGTCTAATCAGCATCTTGATATGCCACACCTGTGAGGTGGATGGATTATCTCGGATCCAAAAGCTTTTTTCCCCCTAACTGAAATTATGCCTTTTAAATTCGAATATAATTCGAATTTTGATAATATTTAAGTAGAAAATTCGAATTTAGTTTTTCAGTCATTTTGACAGCCCTACTACATACTGTATGTATTAGGTGGAAACCTGATTTCATATAGTTCTGAAACATTCACTGCTATGGAAGATCAGGGCAAGTGAATCATTCTTTCTTCCAATCTTCCCGTTTAATCCTCTTTGCAGAGTTTGCACTTGTTTCACAGACCTGCGCTCCATCTCTTTCTAATCTCTCCCCCCTTTACTTCGTCTTCCACATGTCGACTCTGCATCCTCTATTCAGAGCATGCGGAGCAGAGCAGCGTCTGACTGCACCGTGAAAGATAAGCAGCTCATCTCATTTGCCAAGGCTATAAATAATTTGATCTTTCGCAGGCAGAGTTCAGATGCTGTTACTCTGAGATTCAGGGACATGCTCGGAAAGTGCTGTCTGAATCCTAACATAGAGCACCTGATCAAGCCTCACTGATGGAGCATCTGGATCAGGCGGCCCACTGCAGTGCAGGGTGCATCTGTGTACAAGGATAATTTGCATTCAAATCCACTAATATGCAGGAGATATGGCTGAGCTCTGTATAATCCAGAGATCAAACTAAAAACAGGAGGAACACGGATGTAATCCCTTCTCTGAACAAGTGGCACAGCGGATTTAAAGGAAGAGTACACCATGTCCTAGGGAGCATCATACCATGCTAGATTTAAGAAAATGGCTTTTCGTAGAGAGGCTTACGGCTGGTAATAGGAGACAGGGATGAATGCGGTTTAACAATATGCCGTCCCCACAGCTACAGCTGTGGCCGATCGGTCCCTAGGAAAGCAGGGTTCAGCTAACTTAACGCAGTGCTCTCGAAAACTGAATTCAAAACAAGCACATCCATCTCAGTAGAGTGCTTCCCATCAGAATGTGCTTAGCGCTGTCTCAGTCGCCGAGACGACCTGACGCTGGCCACGCGTTTTATTCAGATGCCCAATTACAGTCAATAAATACAGTCTAATAAATTTGTTAAGCACTGTATGTGCTTAAATTTATTAGACCACCTGTCATAATAAAGAGAAAACACAAATATTTTAGGAATCTGTCAAAAACTTGAAAAATGTTATTGTGATTAATTAGGCAAATAACAAACTGAAACAACTAAATAGTCTTTATTCACACATAACCAAAAAGCGTAATATTTTCAATGACCTCCTTTGGCCTTGATAGCAGCTTGCATTCTTACTTTCCCACAGTCTCTATTGACTGTAATAGGGCATCTGAATAAAGAACTTTACAATTTTTTCTGCCTTTCTTGTAAAACAGTAAATTCGAAAATTCATGGATAACAACAATAATTTTATTTTAGCATTAGAAACAATACTGTGACTAAAGAGCTTGCACATACTGGTGGATGAACCATTACAAAAACATAAAAAATGATTTTGGTATTCACCAATACTGTTAGTGTAAGGTAGTTGTGGCACAAACCTTACATTGGGTGGTGGTCTAATAAATTTGTTAAGCATCATAATTAATCAACATAAATGCTCGTTCAAATAAAAAAATTAAAAAACTCTTGCCATTAGTATGAAATTACTGCAAAAGCAGCTTAACATGGTGTAACATTTGAGTTACAAAAAAAGACTCAAAACAGATAAAGAAATAATTTAATTTATAACGGATAGTTATGACTAAATTCATAACTAATTATATAATAAAAATAATATATTCTAGTATAATATAATTAATATATTGTTATGAACATAAATAATAATAATAATAATAATAATATTAAATGCACCTTTCCAAAGCTCAAGGTCAATCTACAAGAATATTACAACATCCAATTACATTCAAGTACATACATCTTAGGTGTGCTCACACATGCACTAATTTTATTTTCGGGCTGGGATTCCAATTCTGAATCCATACTGAAAGGTCTGTTCATATGAACCTTAAATGCTGCAATTTGATTCACATATTTGTTTACATCAGCATAACATTTATTTCAAGCAAGACTTAACACATAAGTTGCCATGTTCAGAACAGGAGAAAGCCATAGTAATAATGTCACCGGAGCTACAGCAAATATAGTTTTACCAAATATTTAGTAAATATTTAATCTCATCTAAATCTAAAATGAAATGTAAATAAACATACGCACATTTGTATGACGTCGTAAAACACATGTAAACATATGCATCATGGCTCTGCACATGTGAGCAAGATATCTGAATCCAATTAAAAAAAAAAAAAAAGCCAGATTCAGCAGTTTACATGCTTACTTTTTTCCCTTTGACCGGATTATTACAGGTCTACACCACCCCTTTTAATCCAATCAAAAACCCATTCGGTTCGAGCACATTCGAATCAACTGAGGTGTTTACATGAAGGCTTTTCTATCTGCAAGAACCATCAAGCTGTTATAAAAACATTATTTGGGTGCCTGTAAACACAGCTAGTGTGTGCATGGGCGAGGGTAACTGGTATGAAAAGGGGTATGTTTTTAACCATGAATACCCCTTCTGTAATAACAAACTCTTCCTTGTCTTGATCTCTTTGTACATGTCCCACTTTGTATTTTTGCATTACTTTGTTACAGCATCATGTGTAAACAACATCAACAGTCCAGCCCACTGATAATAAATCTACCAGGGTATAAAAGAAACAATGAAATCTACGTCTATGATCGCATAATATATACAGTCTTACCACCCAGCCCTAAGCCCCACCTTCCCAGGCTACTGTCCTCTGCTGGGGAACAGCTCAGGGAACAGTGGGAGGTATTGTTGACACATGAAAGGTTGTCAGTAAAGGGAAAACAGGCCTGGCACAGGAGAGCTGGGTGCAATGAATACCAAGCTTTCAGCTCATTTGTCACCACAACCCACACAGACCTGCTCCCGAGACTGCACGCCTGTCCTCCCCGCTCAGGCCTGCCACGGGCTCTTCATGTAACACCAGACAATGCAGAAAGGAGCTGGAGCCCTATTGATGATTTTTTTAAAATATGGTACAGCTTATAATGTGCAAACATGAAAGGTTGTCAGTAAAGGGAAAACAGGCCTGGCACAGGAGAGCGGGGTG